CTGCTGAACTCACTTCTTAGTCCTAGGAGCTTTTGTGTAGACGTTTTTGAGTTTTCTAAGCAGACAATCATATCATCTAAAAATAGAGATAGTTTTCTTTCTTCCTTTCCAATCTGTGTACCTTTTATTTGTTTCTTACCTTATTACACTAGCTATAGTTTTTGGTACAAAGTTGAGAGACAACATCCTTATTCCTGATCTTAGGCGGAAAGCACTCAGTCTTTCACCATTAAGTATGATGCTAAGTACAGGTATCTTACATGAGGTCCAGGAATTTCTTTTCAATTCTTAATTTGCCAAAAGTTGTGATCATGAATGGAGTTTGAATTTTGCCAAGTGCTTTTTCTGCATTTTATTCGTTAGTCTGTTAATATGGTGAATTCCTCTGACAAAGTGTTCTTTTTGGGGTATTTATCCTTTTTAGTGTTCTCTTAACTTCCTGGACCTATGGTTTGGCATCTGTCATTAATTTGGGGAGAAATTCTTGGTCATTAAAAAAATACATATATATTCCTCTGCACCACCATTCTCTCTCTTTCTTCAGGGGTTCCAATTACTTGTATGTGAGAGTATTTGATATTATCTCACAGCTATTGGGTGCTCTGCTTTTTTTCTTTTGCTTTAACTTCTTTTTTACTTTGTGTTTCAGTTTGGGTAATTTCTATTGCCCTATCTTCAGGTTCACTGATTCTTTCCTTGGCTGTGTCAGGTCTACTGAGGAGCCCATCAGAGGCATTTCTAATCTCTGTTACAGGTTTTCAATTTCCAGCATTTCCGTTTGATTCTTTCTTATAGTTTCCATTTCTCTGCTGAAATTGTTACTCATGAGATCTTGCATGCTATTCAAATTTTCCACTAGAGCCTTTAACATATTAATTGTAGTTCTTTTAAATTTCCTGTCACATAATTCCAACACCTGTTTCACACTACATCAGATTCTGATGACTGCCTTACTTCTTGGGAGTGTGGTGTTTCTTGCCTTTTTGTACGTCTTATAATTTATGCTAAAAATTGGACACCTCATTTAGAATAGTAGAGACCATGACAAATAGTTTTCCTGCCTGGAAATGGGTACACCTTTCCTTCTGCTAGGCCTTTAATACTCCTTCGAGCTAACTACAACCCAGAGTGGAAAAAGAAGTCCCTTTCTTACGTTTTAAAAGACTTTGTCAATAAGCTGCCTATATTATTAATGAATTCTTCCTTCTGCTTTTTCTATAAAGACAGACATTCCATAATAAAGCTTCTGGTTAAGCAGGAGATAATTGGTATATCCCTAAGAAACAGATCTATCCCAACCAAGAGCAAAGAAACACAATACTCTAGGCCTTGTGTGCAGCATTATTTGGGAGGGAGCAGATAAATATAAAATTTGGGATGCTCTGAAATATTTGAACCATTCCTCTCATTCCCAGTGTGGCAGATTGATCATGTAATGGCATCATCTCCACCCCTCCCTGGATCAATACCCTTTGCTATGTAACTCTGTGTGGTCTCCTGCAGTGGGTGTGATGACTTGGTTACTTGATTGGTTTTCAATTTATGCCTTTGACTGGTGCCATTAGAACATAACCAAGCTTGCTGTGGGCATACATGGCCCTGTTTTTTTGGTCACCCCAGACAAAAGCCAAACATCTAAGCGATCCCCTCAGACCAGAAGAACTGCCTAGCTAAGTCAAGACTAAACTGCTCAGCCACAGATTTGCAAGCAAAAGAAATGGTTTCTGTTTTAAACCACTGTGCTTTCGGGTGGGAATAGAAAGCTGATATTCCCAGTGGGCCTTTGGGCTTCCTGAGATCTGGGAAGTGTTGAAGCATACTCTGATCCCACTCCCCCCAATTCTGTGTCTCCTAAGGCACACTTCATGTGAGAAGCCATGCCTTACAAATATCCCACCATTGCAGTGGTGCTTGTTTTAAGCAAAGTACAAAACCCAGATTTAGGAGGCTCATATTTTGAATACTAATTTCTAATTCTTCCTAAAGGAGTCTTTGAAAAGCACTTCATGGCTCCATTTTGCTGCTGGAGCCTTTGACAGAAAGCCCATTCCTGTGTCCTTTGGTTTAGGGCAGTGGTTTCTAAGAACTTGGGCTGGGCTGGCTGCAACACTCTCTGGGGAGAAAAACAGATTCCCCTAACCCTACCCTAAGAGTTTCATTCAGTTATGCTGTGTGGAACCCAGTAATCTGAATTTTTAAATAGCTCCCCAGGATTACAGCATATTCTTATGTTAAGAATATCAGGTGATCATTAAACTGAATCATTTCTCCAGTCTTCTGTTTCCTGAATGCATCTTTAGACACAATTTCCTTTCATCAGAACACACTTGTATATAGATTAAATGATAGGTGCATCCAAGTGAGGTAATAGTTAATATAATTTATAACTTAGATGCCTACCTATTTCCAACACCAATTAAAGGAAGCTAACAATATGTAACACATCTAATAAGACCATCAAAATAGAAACAGAAAATTTTAGACAACAGAGAAGAGGAAAACTATATCAAAATTCTAGAGTAGCAGATTTACCTTAATGAGTAGCTGAGTCTCCTAGCAGCAAAGGCAAAAAGTAAAATATGCTAATTATAGAATTCTTACTATCTGATGAAATAAAATGTATCGAAGTATCAGTAGAGACATATTTTCCATAGAGCTGAATTCTAAAATGAACTTAATTACATAAATCCTATTACACAAGTGATTCTGAACATAATAGAAAACATGCTAATGTGTAGAGAGAAATTTTTTCTGGAGTTATATTGTAAAGAAACTAATTACACAGGTCCAACTGCGTAAGGAACTTTGAATAACAAAAAGAGTTGTATAACCAACAGTGGTTGGGCAGAAAATAAAGACTATTTTTCATACATCCATTAAGACATCAATCTCTGGAGGCACTTCTGGGCAAAGGTCCAAGGGTGAGGGCTTCATACGATCTAACTTTTCTCAGGGAAAAAGCTTAAGACATCTAGAAAATAAGATGAAGAGTGCGGTTGTGCTTGGACTTGGGGTCCTCTCAGAGGAGGAAACGGGCTATACTGCCCCACTGCAGGGGCACCTGGAGAGCCATCTGGTAAAGGAACCAGTTCACACTCATGACTAGGTACCCACACTCTGGGGGCTCACTCCATTAATCAGCCCCGGAGGAGGGACTCAGGAGGTGGAGGGGGAAGATTCTGAAGACACTGGAAGACCTCCCCTCCCAGAGGCATGTGGGGTTTTCCACGCATTGCAAATCCCGCAGTTTGCTACCAACGTGGTGACTGCTCTGGGGCTGCACTAATGGAGGAAAGGTGCCAGAGCAGGGAGGTGAGGCCCTGGCTCTGTCCTGCCCACCAACCTTCCTTTAGCTCCTTTCCTACACCACACTCTCATCTCCGGCGCTCTGCACGTGCCGTCCCCTCACCCTGGGACAGTCTCCCCCTTGCCCTACCCTTGCCCCTTTCATCTGGCACTTCATCCTTCAGAGCCCTGTCTAGATGTCACTGATGCCCTCAAGCCTCGGCAGAAACCCAGCCGTGCCCCACAGCATCCTCCCCTCTCCATGACAGACCCTACCACACCAGTGTGAGACGGCTGTGTCTGTAGTGACACCCTGAGAATGGTCACCAAACCCCTGCTTCACTGCTGGATCCTCCCTGCTGGAAGTGCCAGGCACAGAGCAGATGCTCCAAAGATGTGGACAGTGGATGCATAAGGAAGGAGTACAAATACTACTGCTACAACTGTCAACAGTAAGAGCTGACACTTACACAGGCATACCAGGTACCAGCCCCATTCTAAATGCTAAAGTGTGAGGCTGCGATTAGAACCCAGGCAGTTGCTCCTGAACCCACACTCCGAACCCTTTTGCTCTAAATCAGTGAACAAAAGCATGTGCCGTGTGAGGCTGGATGACCAGTACAGGGCTGGAGAACTTAGTGCTCACCCTGGCATCGCACCATACCTCAGCACCCCTCCCACCTGGAGGTATCCTGGAGATCGGGCGAGAGGTGAACACGTGTGCAGGAGACCAAGGGCACAGGGTATGATCTCGGCAACCACCCTTCTCAGAAATCCCAGGTGCGGCCAGATGGGAGGTTTAGTCCTATCCCACGACGGTGGCACCACCTGTGCGCCCCAGGCATGGACCATGCTAGAACAGGACCTGTGAGTGTCAGAGGAGCAGACGGAAACAGAACAAGCACCTTGCCACCAGGAACACTGCCGCCTGCAGAGGAGACCAGGAGCTCAGATGGGCTGGAGCCAGGCGCTGGCCCAACAGGACTTGACCGATGGCTGGGCTTCTGCTCAGATAATCCGGCTGCTTTTTTCCTCTGGGCAGCGATCTGGGACAGAACACTGTCTATGCTGCCACCTGAGGAAACAGGAATAGGAATGACTGCCTGGGTCCAGAGCACTGCAGTGCGGGCGGTGGACATCAGATGCCGACCTGGCTGAGCCAGAACCCCGTTTCCCAGACCCCTGCCCCTGGCTCTGGGTCAGGGCCAACCACAGGAGGACTGTGCATGACAACTGGTAGGTGGACAGCCATCAAGGCTCCAGTTCGTCCTCGCTTTCCCCCGAGCCACGGCCAGTTCAGTCAGCCGCCAGCGGGCACAGACAGCACGCCCTGCCCTGGGTTCCCCCAGCAGCCCCGCTGCAACGCCTGCCAGCAGCTCCACATGCTGCCATGCCAGGGCTCCTCTGCCATCATCCAGCCCCCGCTTCTGGATCTCTACACCCCCAGCTACTCCCACAGTTGAGTCAATTCTCACTCCATAATACTCAGGGAGTTAGCTTCCCTGACTGAATCCTGACTGCCAAGTTCCCTCTCCCTGTTTCCCCAAACGTACCAGCAACCTTGAATTATTACGAAGGAAAAGGGGAAAGTGATAATATCCAGAGCGCGGGAGGGCACTGGAGGGAGAACACTGATATCTGACATTTATAGAGCACTTCCTAGGTGGCAGGCACTGCTGTAAAGCCATTCTGGAGGGCGAAGTGTAAAGCTTCAAAAACAGGCAAACCCACTGACCCCGCCACCCTGATTCAAAGGCACTTACATTAAGCAAATCACTAAGCAAGCAGGCAAGTGCAGAGCTATGAAGCCATTACTTAGAGTGGGATCTACAAGAGCAAAAATCTAGAACAGCCTTGGTGTTCAACAAGAGGGAACTGGTGAATTAAAACTGACACCTCATATGAGTGGAAGGCTGTTTGGTTATTTAAAAGATGCTGTAGCTACACGTGTATTGGCATAAAGAGGTGTTTACAACATGGTAATGGGTACAAAGAGGAAAAAGGTTACAGAGCAGACTATACTGGGAAGTCAGCCTGCTTGCGTGCAGGTCCTGGCTCTGCTGCTTCGCAGCTGTGTGACCCTGGGCGAGTTATTTAACTCCCCTGAGCCCCAGTTCCCTCCTCTGTAAAGTGGAGAGGACACCTCACAGGATGTTGGAGGACTGAAGGAGATAATCTATTTAAAGGGCACTGTGCCTGGCACACACTAAGTGCTTAATAAATTATTATTATGCTTTCATAAATATGCATTAAAGTACTTTGCGAAGATATACACCAAAACATTAACAATGATCCCTAGTGGGTGAGATTATACTTTTTTTTTTTTTTTCTTTATCTGGTTTACAAGCTTTTCCATAAGAAGCATGCATTCCTTATGTAATGGCATAAAGCAGGGTGCCTTCCTGCAAAGCTGGCTTTGGTTAATCCTGGATCCCCTCAGGGAGGACTAGAAAATATCTTGTAACCAGCCTCATTACCTATTCCCATATTCTGGTGTTTTGTTTTGTTTTTTATAGTATTCACTATCATCAGATTTTTTAAAAATTATCTGTTTATACCAGAATACAACTTCCTACAGAACTTACTTTGAATTTTTTATTGCTAAATGCTCTATCGCCTAGACATTGCCTCACATCTAATAAGTGGTCAACAATATTTGCTGAAAGAATATGGTAAACAAATGTAATGATGTGAAAAAAATTAAAATTAAAGAAAAAGAAAGTATGCCAATAAGCCCAAAATAACTGTGGGGCAATTTGCTTTGAGTCTTAATTGTCTCTGGGCAAATCTGCTGTGTGTCTCTGGGCAAATCTGTCACCCACTCTGAGCTTCAGTTTCCTCATCTGTTCACTGAAGGGTCAGGATGAGAAGATATCTAAGGTTTAATCTTCAAGGATTTTAAATACCACAAAAACACCATGTATTTCTTTTAGTTTCTTGTAAAATTTTCCAAGAAAATAAAGCATTATAGACTATTTCTTCCCCTCCCCTGCCCTAAGAAAATGCATAGAAGAAACTATGAATTGTGAATTCACTGAAAAATCCTTTGGGCACATCAACAAGAAAGACAGGTTGTATGCAGTGGTCTCTAGGACTGTCCCCAGTTCACACCCTCAACCCCAAGGGATCTTCCCACCTCCCCGGAGTGGCCTGCCTGGGTACCCACCTGAGCGGTTGTGCAGCTCCCCACCGTGCCTGCTCATGCCTCCTACCCCACTGGAGCCACCAGAAGAATGAGGTGAGTGGTTGAAGTTTCCAGAATTGGCAGGAGAGGCTGGGCTTCTGGAGAGAGACGGAAATTTAACTGGCCTGACGGGAGTCTGCAAGAACAAGGTGGAAATCACAGTTAGGGTTTGCTGTTCATTCCTTCCGATGCACAGATCACAGTGGTGAGGGACCTGGAGTTCAGCTGGCCCATCCCAGCCAGTGCTTGTATCCACTGGCATGTCCTTGCCCACCGGTGCTCATCCTGCTAGGAGTCCCCCAAGGGATGGCAGTTCACATCTATCTGCTGACAGCTTGACCGACCATTAACTCAGGCTGAGCACCTGGGACATCGTTTCCCACAGGTCACCCACCTGCTCCCATGTGGTGGACTAATGTAAACCCACTCTGTCCATTTTTGAGTACCTCCAGCCACCAGGCCCTTGGTCTCCAACTAGTGATTTGGTATTACGACAGTCCAGGGAGGCAGCAGCAAGCAATGGGGGTCAGACAGAGACGGGGGCCCTGAGGTTCTCCAATCAGTCGACACAAAGCAGCAGGGTCAGGTCCTAAATCCCTGTCCTCGGTTTGCCCATTTACTGTACCTACATTATTTACAGTCTACACATATGGAGATCAGCTCCCACAATGGGACGGACTACCTCAGTATATCACAGAGACACACTGAGGGCCACCAAGTCAGAAACCACTGTGGTCAAAAGGAGACAAGTCACGCTTTCTGGTTGCAAGAAAATACTAGTAGCACACATAGTTGCCTCCCAGTGTTGAGCTTGGTCCTGGACCTGTGCAACGCAGTATGGAACTTAATTAGAGGCCAAGAACCTTATTTCTGGTCCCAGCATCCCTGCCCCAACTTGGCTGGGTGACCTTCAGCAACTGACATCCCTTCTCTGGGCTGTTTCCTCATCTGTTAAAGGGAAGGGTGGATTAGATCAGGTCTTCAACCTGTGTTCCAGGGAGAGGGGCTCCCATTTTCACTCCATTCACTCTAACATTTTAATCTGCTTACATATTAAGTTCTTTGGTAGGGTTTCATTAGACAAAAGAATATCACTCATTTAAAAGAAAATAAAAAGCTTCAGCCCTCGTGGATTAGTGGGTCTCAGGTCCCTTCTGCCTGCAACACAGCACAATGTCAGTGAGCGGTGACGTGTAAAGCATGTCAGCTGGACAACTTACAGTGTCTGTGCTCCCGCCGCCCACAGGTTGCCCCCTGCTGGCTCTCTGGGGCCGCACAGTCTTCATGGGGTCTGCCTTCCGGTTGTGACATGTCCGGGACCGATCTGAGCTCCACAGCTCAAAGCTGGAAGGGGGTAAGAAAGGGGGGATGACTGCCTTCAGCTTGTCGCTTGGGAGTCTGGTGAAGGGGGCTCCATTCCGAAGCTGAAAAAGACAGGCTGTGGGTTAGGCAAGCTCCAAGAGGGCTCCCAGCTCTGCGAGGAGGACTCCAGGTTTCCCCTGCTTCTCAGAGAACGGCAGCACTACCTACCCCTCCACCCAAGCCAGAAACCCACACAATGTCCTCAGCTCTCTTCCCAGCAACCAAGCGATTCCCACAGCTGCTCTGCTCGAACTTCCAGGTTCTCTTGCGTCTGTCCACAGCAGAAACACACAACAGGGGCGGGGAGTATGGAGAGTCGTGGGGTAGCCAAGAGGTGATACGTGTGCTGGGATGGGGCAGCACAGGGGAGGGGCCACCTCTCCCTGCAGGTAGAGAGGGCATCTTGTGGGTGGGGGGGCACTTGAGCTGAGCCCAAAGGACAACAGAGAGGTTTGGGGAAAGGGCACTGCAGACCGAGGGAAGAGAATGTGGAAAGGCCTGGAGGCAAGAGGAGCAAGACCAGTGTACAGAATTGCAAGGACACTGGTGTGACCAGAGCTGGGGGTTTCAGGAGGAGGGGATGAGGGTACTGGAAGGCCCAGGCTGGCTCTCTGTGAACCCAGCCAACCCTCCCATCCCCCATCCCACCACTCCTTCCTACTCCAGCCACACCTCCCACTGCTGACATTTTTAACTGCAATTTAAGTTTTGAAAATGTGATTTGGGGTCAGTATAAAATCCACACAATGATGACTGGTGGATTGTCAAGGAAAAGCTTTCACACAGTCCAAGCTAACTTTAATTAAGAAAAGACAGTGAACCTGGTGCCAGATGGTGCTTTGCAGGGAAGGGCATACCACAGCTAAACCTGCCTCGGGAGCCAGGCAGGTGGGCATCTCCGCAAGGATGGCTGCAAACGCCCACTCAGCAGAGCACCGTGGCCATCCTCCATCTGCCACGGGGCAGGCAGGCACACTGGTGCCCTCTAGAGGGCATGAGGAGGTGGGACAGGAGAGCAACAAGATGGGAGGGTGGGCATCCTGGGTTCCCACCCTGGCTCTGTCCTGCTTTTCTGAGAGTCCGTGAATAAGGGCTGTCCCCTCTGGACCTCGACAACCTCATCTGCCTAAGGGTATTCATCAGAGCTGTTAAAACAATGAAAAACTAGGAACCCCAAAGTCCAGCAGGTCAGTCTTAGATAAAGAGATGAGGGCACAGTCCCATGATGGAATACTCATCCTGCAGCCATTGGATGTGATGGGACCAAAGAGTGTTTCTGACACAGAAAAGATGGTCATGACAAACTGTTAATACACCGGGTTCAGCACAATATGGGGAGGATAACAGTGCCTGACCTGGCATGGTTGTTGGGGATATTAAGTGAGTGAATATATGTAAAGTGCTGCAAATACTTAATAAGCATTTGGCTGTACATACTTAGTGCTGTGTTAAGTATTTGTTTATTATATATAACACAATATCATATTCACAGATGTGAAAAAATGATTAGGGAAAATACTCAAAAGATATATGCCACAAAATGTCAATCATGATTATATCTGGATGTGTGATCAAGGGCAATTTTATTTTTCTTTATACTTTACTGCATCTTCCAAAATTTCAATAACAGCATTTCTGTCTTCATACTGAAAGTAATTATTGCTATTTAATAACATTATCAAATGTTGGGCAGTACAAGTCCCACAGTCAGTGTGCAGACACCAATTTACACCTATTACACAGCAGGGCAGAGCGGGCAGATCCTGGTCAGGGCTCCGCAGGTCCTGGGGCAGCTTAGTCTTTTGGGGGCTCCTCTGCTCTCTTCTTCTCTCCAATACTGCCCTCTCCTGGCCAGCCTCCAGATTAAGACCTCAGAGCTAAAGGGACTTGAGCCCAACTCCAACCAGGAGACTCTCACTTCAGAGAAGAGAAATGAAGCCCACAGAAGTGAGGTAACATGTCCAAGGTCACACAGTAGATAAATGAGAGCTCATTCTGGGCCAGCCACTATGTTAAGAACTTCCTGGGGATGATCTCATTGAAAAACCACAACCATGGGAGATCATCCCCTAAATTAGAGAAGGCTAGCTATCACCTAATGTCCATCCTTGATATCTTCCTCAGCAGACACACCTGATATTTAGATGGGCACACGACCACTCGGAACAAAGACTTCATTTCCCAGCCTCCTGTGCAGTGTGAATGGGCCATGTGACTAAATTCTGGCCCATTTAATGTAAGCAAAAGTGATGTGTGAGTTTCCAGGAAACTTCTTTAAAGACACCTGGCATGTGCCTATGGTCACCTCTTCTCCCCTCATCTTTCCTGTCAGCTGGAGTGAGGTAGTAATGGACAGAGCTCTGGCAGCCATCTTGGACCAAAAGGTGACCTTGGTAGTAGTAGCCATGGCTGGGAGACCAACAGGTAAAAGGAACCTAGGTCCCAAACTCTATGGAACAATAAACTAGTCTTGAACTTCACTTACTTGACAGAAATGTGATGCTGTCATATATTTATGCCAGTTATTTGGGGATTTTCTGTTACTCACAGCTGAACCTAATCCTGATACATCTCTAATTTATAGATGAGGAAACTGAGGCCTCTCTCAGGCTGGAAACATACCCTCCTCTTTGACTTCTCTCTCCTTGGCTTTCCATAACCAAAAGGGTGAGTTCAATGTCACCCATCAATTCCTATGCCTACAAGGCCCCTGTCCTCAGTACTGCCTCCCTGAGAACATGATTGTGGATTACCTCTGGCTGCTAAGCACCAGCACAGCCTTACCTGCAATTCAGGGCTGGCATCTGTCCTGATTTCTCGGTGCCAGAGATATACCCACTGTTACACATTTTGATATCGACCCCATCTGTAACCACCACAGAGAAAGACAAACGCCTACATCCCTCCTTAGAAATCAATCCCCTAACAATTAGTAGAGACCCGAAATGCTTTTAGAAAAGCCCCTCACTCACCATGGTTGTCAATAACACATCTTCCTTTTCTCCTCTTGTGCTCCCAGGACCTGAGAAACAAATAGAAGTTTCCTGAAATGACCCCCCCCCCTGCAAAGAGTTCACGGCATGAGGACAAGTGACCAGGTCAGCCTTCATCCTGGAAAACCAACTCTCCTGAATGATTAAATACTTAATAATAATTGGTATTCTATATCTGAATAGAAGGAAAGCACTTAAAAGGTATCTTAGAGTGTGTTTTCAGCTTTTCCATAAAGCACTGTCATGCTGGGTCAGACAGTGGTACCTCCAGCTCAATAGTCTGTCTCAAACAGTGGTGCCAAAGGATCTAGTCTGGGTGTGGGAAGTCTGACTGTTAGAAGGGATCTGATCTAACTGACATCCCAATCAGTGTGGGAATCTTCTTCAGTGACCTGGCAAAATCATCCAATCTGTTGAATACCTCCAGTGGTGGGGAGCTCACTACCCCCAGCCCAACCCTGGTAATTCACTCTATTTCAAAACACTGTCGGTGCAAGACCAATCACATTCGGCAGGTGGGAAAATCGCCGATCGAAGGCAAGAGAGAAGCAGTGACTGGCCAGTGGTCTCTCAATAGAGCATGTGGGACAGAAGCCTGGGACTCGTGCCACCTGCTTCCCCATTCTACCACACTGACAGCAATTATGTCCCTTCTTTGCCAGACCAGCCACTCTGCCCCAGTGTCACATTCCAACAGCATCTCACCTCTGGCATCAGCCCAGGAGGTGGGACAAAGGGAAGAGGATGAGGGCAAAAAGGTTCAGGGTTTGACCATTCTGGAAATTCTACCACACAAGCAACTTCTTCTTACCATTGTCTTTGGTCGTGGGGGTCACGTCGGGGAGCCCAGAGCGGCTCGTCTTGTCTGGGGGGGGCGCCCTCATTGTGGAGTCCAGTGCTGGCTCTGGCTCATCACAGAAAGGCAATGGCTGGTTGCTGGACAGCCCACGGGGCAGTGTCTGCATCAGTTTGAGCTTCCGGAACCGATTGGACATTCGGTTCCACCAGGACTGCCAAGGAAGTGCAGAGCAGAGGTCATGCCCCAAGAACACCTAGCCCAGGGACAATGACCACACTCCACACGTGCTTCCCTTCCCCTCTCCTGGGCCCACCGCGGGCATTACCAATCAACCATAGCACCCTTTCCCAAAAACCATGGTTCTCTCTAAATCCTTCCTGACCCAGCCCTTAGGGGGCCTTTCCAATAGGCTGGAGTTGGCAGTGAACCCCATTTGCTAACCCTCTTCTAATCAATCTCCTTATTGCACAGATAGAGAAACACAGACCCAGGGATATCAATTTGCTCAATGTCTTACAGTCAAACAGGGACAGACAGATGGACACAGAGGCAATACCAAACACCTTAACATCTATTACTGCATAACCTCCTTCCCCCTATTCCAGTAACAATGTGAGAGGTGTCAGGGTGTCCACACCAAGGCCTGGACCATCTGCTCCTGTAGCTGATGCCTGCCCACCTAAAGAGAGGACAGGTGCCACCCCTAGGGTGTCTACATAATCCCACGATAGCTCAGAGGTTACTGGCACAGTGCCAAAGGGAGGCTGTGAGAGCCTGGCCTACAGAGATGGCAGTGAGGCAGGAATGAAGAGATCTATGCAAACAACACTGTGAGGAAGAATCCAGGGGCCTGAGTGAGTGACAAACATGAGAAGAATGCTAAGTCTGCAGATCTGAGAAGGTGCTAGAACCCCAGCCAGGACAAGGGAAAAAATAATTTTGATTTCCAACAAGCAGAGCAGGGCTTGGAGGATAAGAAATTCAAAGAGAAACATTCAGCTTGCAGTTTAGAAATAGGCAACTGGAGCTTGGTTTTGAGGCTTCCAGAAGACGCTGATGGGGATCTGTGGACCGCAGGGAGATCCTAGAATGGTGCAATCAGCAAATACTTTCCACACGAAAGCACAGGCCACAGATGGCCTGGAAGAAGAGGTGTTCAAGGTTGGCCAGCTCAGTACTACATCATGCAAAAAAAATGTTTAAATTCCCTACATTTACGAATTGTGTCTCTGCATCAAAATCTGGGTTTCTAGCTTCTCCTGAAAAATATGGGAACATGTGGCAACATGGACCCACATACTTGCAACAGCGACTAAGGCCACTAAGTGGTCACGATCACCCCAGTTTTCCCTGGTCCCCACCGTTCCCTATTGCTCACCTCCAGCTTACTTCCTGCCCCTACTGGGCCCCCCACCCCAGCCTACACCAGCCCTGGGTAACAAGGAAGCGGCAAGCATCTCCCCCCTTCACCCATTCTGGCCTGGCTCTCTGACGCCATTTAAGACAAGAAAAGGCAAACCTTAAGTCCGCCTTTGTCATCAGGCAGCACTGGGACACTCCAGGGCTGGCGGACCTTCGAGTGGGGCGGGGGTGGTGAGTGGCTGGGCCGGCCTTTGTCTTTATTCACCTGCATGCAGACAGATGCCAGCAGTCGCACAAGTTCCGTGTCTATGGACACAAAAGGCAGCATTTTACCTGCAAATATGTCTGTCGGGCCATGGGGTGGGGGCCCAAGATGAACCCCATCAGCCTGAGAACTCAGCCCCACAGCTCCAGAGCCTGTGTTACTCCAGGATCAAGGCGTCCCTGCCTCTCCACTGGCTCTTCAAAAGGTGGCAAACAGGTGAGCAGGGCTTAACCCACTTAACCAGAAATAAAAGCCAGAAGTCCTGTCCTACCAGGAAGGCAGAGGGGTGGTGGGTTTAAAAAAGTACAGGCTCGGGACTTCCGTGGTGACGCGGTGGTTAGGAATCCGCCTGCCAATGCAGGGGACACAGGTTCGAGCCCTGGTCCGGGAAGACCCCATATGTCGTGGAGCAACTAAGCCCGTGCACCACAACTACTGAAGCCCACGTGCCTAGAGCCCGTGCTGCGCAACAAGGGAAGCCACCACAATGAGAAGCCCGTGCACCGCAATGAAGACCACTTGCAACTAGAGAAAGCCCGCACACAGCAACGAAGACCCAACGCAGCCAAAAATAAATAAATAAATAAATTTATTAAAAACAAATAGTAAGTAAAATAAAACAGCTGTTGTTTAAAAAAAAAAAAAAAGTACAGGCTCTACACCCAGATGACCGACGTTTGAATTCTGCCTCTGTTCCTCCCTGGCCATGTAACTGCAGGTAGATTAAGAGACGACATTAGTACCACCACATAAAGGTATCTGGAGGATTTGAGGTAATTCCTAACATACAGTAAGTGCTTAAGAAAGGTTAAGTAGTATTAGTTATTATTAACTCAACTAGGCTATTGAAAAAACAACAAACAGGACTGAGAAGAAAATACTACCAACTATTAATATGCTTTTCTCTTGATGACTATTTCCTTTTTTTCTCTCCAAGTGTTCAATAATAAGCATGTGTTTCTTTGAAAATTTCAGGCAAAAACTTCATTTGAAAACCCACTAGGAAAAAAAAAATCCAATGGGGGAGATTGTTTTATTGGGAAAGGGAGTGGGGGAGAAGGGGGGAGCGGGAAGAGACACAGGGAAAGAGATGAGTGTCAGAGGAAAGCGTGTGTGGGAGGAGGCGGGGGTCCCCGGGAGACTGATCCTGAATGATGTGAACCCTAGGCACGTGAGAAGCGAGCTCGCTGCACTTGGGTGGAGGGCCCTATCTCTCTAGCAGGGCTCAAGTCTTCCCAGACTCCGGGCTCCTCCCCTCTACAAGCAGACAAGAAGCTCTGCTTCCCTCCCTGCTCTCCAAGGATACAACAGGACCAGCACGTATCTGTGATGTGTGGGGCCCGCAGGAGGGGAGGGTGGCGGGGGAGGTAATGCTGGCGGTGAGGAAGGTCCTGTCACCTCCACAGCTAAGGGAGGCCGCAGGAGTCCCTCCACCAGACACCCAGGAGGCAAAGTCCTCCCCTCCACCTCCAGCTGCTTAGAATCTGGCTCAGGGCTCAGAGCCTGCGGGCCAGGAAGGCCTCCCAGCTTCTCCCGCTCTGGGCTGAAACTCGGGGGGTCACAAGAGAGACAATAGGTAAGACAGACCCTGCCCCCTGAGCTGGCTAATTGGAAGCCCCAGGTCCCAGAGGAAGGCCTGTCAAAGTGGGGGAGGGTCTGAGGTGCCAGCTGGGGGCTTAGTAATGGCGACACCCCCAGCACAGTACCCTTGACCTGGAGCCTCCACCTACACAATTAAGCCATGGGGGTCACTGCTTCATCTGATTCTGCTCGTGAGAGGGGACTGTTTCCTCCGGAGTCAATCAGTTTCTGGCTGGGAGCACAAATACCAATCTAGGATTTGTGCAGTATGCCAAGGCCTTCCCTCCTGGAGACTCCCAGAAGGCTGGAGCCAGAGAGGCCTCAGGGACTACCTGGTCCCAGCTCCACCCTCCTTGGGAGGAGTGAAGACTTGCCTGAGGCTGTGTGGGGAGCTCTGGGAGTCTGAGAGTGGCTTCCCCCTTGAATAAGCAAGTGCTTAATCACAGGTGATTATCTCGATTCCCAGCCAGAGAACCCGGCAGGCTTAAAACTCTTTTCCAGAAACGACCCACCAGGATCACTCAGCAGCATCACTAGGTCAAAGGCCGTGTACCCGTTTTTTGCACGAAGAGTGACATCAGCTCCTTGGTTTAGCAGATATTTGACAATCTCCTTGTTCCTGTGGAAGAAAGAAAAGGCCAGAGTGAGACCCACTGAAAGGGAAAGCATGGCCTTGCTTCTGGGCAACATGAGTGGTGGCTTTAACTAGAGCAGCATCTCTGCACCTGTAAAAGGGCTTGGAAAGCTGTGTCTCCCAGCCCTTGGTCCCTACACTGTGGCCAGCCATGACAGAAATCAAAGCCTGAGTGTTCCTTCCACAAACCAAAAACCAAGGGCTCTGCCCCAAAACCACTGGCCCCTAGGACCACATGCAGGCCCTGCCCCTCCAGCCCCAAATCAGGACTCCTGCAGCCGAAACATGAAGCCTCTGCAGGCCAGGGTGTTTGATGTGGAAGTCTGAGGCCTATCAAATGAGGAAAGAAACCACTTCAAAAGGACGCAGGAGACTGCTCTGATCACCTGAAGCAGAACAAGGGTGGAGCCCCTAATTTGGAATCAGATCACTGAGCAGGTATAAGGCTGTATGCAGATCCCTGCCTCTTGGTCAAGCCCACCCCAAGGAGGAGGCATCCAGGAGGGCAGAGGGATGACTGGATGAGAAGGGATTCAGAAGCACCAGTCAACGCTGACGCCTATGCAAAACGAGGGCTAGGACAAGCCTCATCATCAGACGAGAAGCCAGTGGTACAAATGGCCGATGTTCATTCCCAACAGGGGCAACAGGGGGGCTGCTATATACATCAATGTGAAACTCCAGAAGAACTAATCTGTTTGCTTAACTGAAACTTATCTTTCAGTATAAAACCTTCCTTCTGCATGGTTTCTCATGGCCACAGGTGAAACTGTGTGCCAAGGCAACAGGAAATCTGGACACAAAGGGTAGGAATGCAGGATAGACCGAGCCTGCGTGGCTTTTAGTCTTTTTTGAGTGCCTCAACATCTTCATAATTGGGGGGGTGGCTTATCTGCAGCATCTCAGTACCAGAAACCCATCAGGAACACTATTTCAGCCCGGGACACCTTAGCCTCCCCACTGAGGGAGTGGAGCTGGCACTGACCCGTGGTAGGTGGCCTGCATGAGGGCCGTCCAGCCATGCACGCCATCCTGCTTGTCCACGTCAGCATGCCTCTCAACCAGTAGCTGCACCAGAGGCAGCTGCCCCATGACAGCTGCCAGCATCAGTGGGGTCGCCCCATCCCCATTAACCAGGTTCACGTGGTTGGGGTCTTCATCGGCAATCTCTTTGACCAGCTGGAAGTTTCCTGCAAACAGAAGCAGAAGTCCTGGTGATCCGTGGGCCTGGCACCGCAGGATTATTTACCCAGTGGTTTCATGTAACAGATGTGCTAAGCCAGCCTCTGCACTGGGCTACTGGGCATCGCAAGGGCTACAAAGATGAGTCAGAGGTAGCCCGCACTCTCAAATCCTTCTGTCTAGGAGAGATGGAGGCAAGCACACAAACAGCTTTACCAAAAGAGAGAAATGTTACTGATACCTTAAAAGAATAGTGATGAAGGGCAATGTGCATGCAGAAGGAGAGCTCAGGTCTCCCTGAGAGGTGAGGATAAGGGCGAGCTTCCTGGAGGTGGGGTGTCTATTTCAGGAGAGGCAATATTAGGCTAAACATCCCTTCATTACAAAGAGAGTGGAGCGGGTAGGTGGGCAGCCAGGCATTTTAGAGGTAAGTAAAAGCCAGGACATAGCCACAGGGTTTAGCCGGAGAGGCAGAGGGGGCCTAAGAGAGCAGTCTGGAATCTGTGTGTAAAACAGAAACAGCATGACTACCAGACTCCAGGGTCTGAACCTCCCTGGGTGAAACTAGTCAGGAAACAACAAAATGCCTGTTTCTTTCTCAAATACTCTGGGTGGCCTTGAAAAGGACTATAAATATTAATTAGGTTGGAAAAAATAGCACTGTATTCTTAAATATCCAAAAAGATTTTCTAAAGCGCTTACCCATTTTCAATGCATGGAAAATATCAGGTCGCCTTTTCTCCTCATCTGGGTAAACAAAGATTTTACAAGTTAACCACGGAAAGGTTTGAAACAACAGAAAAGTCACAAGGGTGTAACGACCCAGCCTAGCTTTAAAAATGATCTGCTTCTCAAAAGCAGTCTAATCAGAGACCTGAGATGACTCCAGCAGACCTTCTGGAAGGGCTATTGTCAGAGTGTCTGAAAATGCTTCAGACACAGACCGTGGGAGGTCATCTGGCCCAGAAAACATGAATGAGCAGACCATTTCCCGACCCCACAACTCATAAAGCAGTCATTTTTAGGCATTCCAAACTTTGGGATGGCCTTTCTCAGATAGAACGGAAAAGTACAGTCTTGGAAAAATCTGTATTCCTATGAAGATTTTTAAAAGAAACAATGATTCTTTTATTCTAAAAACTAAATGTACAACCATGAGGTAATTCCAGAGCAGAGGACCCCTGAGACACTGAGCAGCTAATCCCAGAGGAGGTCATGGTCTGGCCACCAGAAGAGCCAATGCTAATATTTGCTTTCCTTCCCAAATAAGCAGCCATCTGAATGATTCTGAAAGTTACCCCTACCCCAGACTTGCAGATGCAGCTCCCAGCAGACGACTGCCCAACTGATGTCTTCGTGCTGGGCCTTGCTGCGCCCACCCAGAGCTAGCCCCTCCCTCATCTGCTCTCTCTCATCTTCCTCAAAGCTGGAGCTAGCAGGTACCCTGCTCCTTCCCATCAGAAAGCATCCATCCTCATGACCAGGCTCTTCCCTGGTGTGCAAATGTAGGACTTCCTTTGACTAACTCCGGGGGGATGGAGCAGCTGCAGGAGGAAACCTGTGACTCTGGGCCAAATCCCTGGTCCAGATCAGCCCCCTCCGGCAGCTGGGAGTAAGGTGTGGCACAAGGAGCACGGAGTCTGGAGTCAGAGTACCCGAATCTGAATGCATGTTTCCAGAGAGATCTGTCTCCTCATCATTAATATGGGGACAACACACTAACATGGGGACCATGTGGTTGTTGCAGGGGTGGATAATATAGATGGTAAAATGCTTCAGAAATTCTTAGGCTCTATTCTAAAAAAAAGAGCAATTTTTGTTATCTTTCCTAGTGACCAGCACCCACCCCAGAAAAGGTACTAGTTAACTCCAGGGCTCTTACAAGGAAGTATATACAGGGCCATGGAACCAAGTGTCTAATTTTGCCTTTGAAATACTATTAAGAAATGATACTGTATTTTGGTTTCAAAAAATATGTCTCGTTCTTTTTAGTGTTTAAGAGTCTAATTTGCTGTGGGCCAGGGCCTTCTCATGCCAAGACCCTTTGACAGAAAAGAGTGCGTCACCTGGCCCTAGTGTTGGTTGCTAAGCAACCTTCTGGTGCAAATGAATCACTGACAGTCTAGTCTTACCCCAGGAAGCTGGGGCAGCTGTGCCTGATGCCCAGTGACCCTGGGCTGGTCCTTTCCTCACTCCAGGCTCCAGTTTTTGCATCAGTATCAGAGCAACTCTAGGGACCCTTCCATAGCCCAAGGAACAACCACAGTGGGGGTGGGGAGGGTGTCACAAGGACAGTTACAGCCTCCAAGATATCCTGTCCTGCAGCTAATGCAAGGGAGAGAGCTGGGGATCTCCAAGGCCCTGATGGGGGGTGGATTTCCTGGCATCTCACAAAAAAAGCTGGGGCCTAATGTTATTCATTTAATAATCTGTCATTATTAGTAACACAGTCTTTGCCCTTGCTGTTGTCCTACCCGAAGGCTCTTCCCTGAGAGGCCGCATGGAACACTTCCTCAGCTCCTGCAAGTAGGCTGAACTCTCACCTCAAGGGGGCCACTCAACGGCCCTATTTCATATGGTGGCCTGTATCGCCCCAACTCCACTGCTCCCACACCCTCCACCTCGCCCCTGTTTGTTTTCTTCCCCACCATGGTACTTCCATCTACCGTACTATGTAACTTATTTTATTTAATACGCTTATTTCCTGTTTCTTGGCTGTCTTGCCTACAGAGGCCAGCATCCTCAAGCGCAGGGATTAGGTCTGATTTGTTTGCTGGTGCCTAGAACAGTGCCTGGTACATAGTAGGCACTCAAATACTTGCAGAGTAACGGAATGAATGAATGGTCAATAAAAATCCATTTTGGTAGCTTCCACTCATGGCTCTTTATGTGCCAGGCACTGGGGTATGTATTTTATAGGCATTATCTTATTACCACAGCTCATAGGACCTCACAAGGTAAGTGCATTTACTATGGCTGTTTTATGAAAGAGGACCCTGGAGTCCTGGAGGGACAATGAATACAACAAGGCCGCACAGCCACAAAGTGGGAGAGCTGAGCCTCAAACCCTGGTCTGGCTCGATGGGGGAGTCTGCTCGTAACCATGACCCGGTCCCATCAAATAGAATGACTATAGTAACAGGGGTGAGGCAGCTGCCAGCACCTCTCATGCGCTCCCTCTGGGCTGGGATGACCTCACTTGAGCCTCACAGCAGTGCTGTGAGGCAGGGGGTACTCCCGTCACCCACTTATGGATGACGAAACAGAAGCTTAGAGAACGCAGGCAGCTGGTCTAAGGTCCCTTGGCCAGCACAGGCAAGGCTGGGTGGATGCTGGTAGAGGGTGATCCTGGGCACAACCACCACTGTGTCTGCCCCGCAGCACCTTGAGGAGATGAGGGCAACCCCTTCCCAGGGTGCCAGGGCAGGCCCTAAGGAGGCACGTGGGGGGCTAAGACCCCAGAACGCCGGCTGGGGGAAGTCTGAGGAAGGAGGAGAATAAGCAGGACAAGAGGCACAGCTCAGGGGCCGCAGGCAGGGTGCACGTTCCAGACTGTCGACTTCTAGGGTGGAGGTCTTGGGCGAGTTGCCTGATCTCCCTCACCCGCAACATGGCTGAAGCCAACCTCCCCGGGGTGGGGGTGAGGTATGAGTCTGCCTATTGGCAGAGCAGGGACGTGAGAAGGCAGCTCCCTTCCCGATCCTGGCTACAGAGACAAACGGAACCAAAGCCTTTAAGGGAGGGCAGCAGCCTTGCGTCAAGGAAAATACCCTGTGTGAGGCTGGGGCCCTACCTTCCAACTGTAACTCTTCCCCAGGACCTAACACTGAACTGCTATTACATTCTAGCCCAAGGGCTCACACCCCAGAGGCCAGCTTATTTTCTGCTCATGACCACCTGGTAGTTGTCATTAACCCCATTTTACACAAGAGGCAAAGGAAGGCTCAGAGAGAGTTATAAGCATGCCCAGCTCCCAGCAGCCCTACAAGTGCTCCAACTGGGCGGAGTCACATCCCCGTGCTCTTCCCATGGATTCCCTCACCTTCTGAGTGTCACTCAGCTTCTAACCGGTATGCGACCTTTGACCAGCCTCTATTCCTCTCCGGACCTCACTTGTCCAATCTGCACAAAGTAAAGAGGTCTCCTGGCTCCAGATAGGTTTTCCTAAACTTTACTTCTTTTTCCTTTGTTTGGCGTTCTCTTCATTTTCGCCATCTCTCTGTTGTTAACAGTATTTCAGTTTTTTGACACGATAGTGTATTTCTAATAAGCATTTCCCAAATGTGCAGCATCTTTTGATTGATGGAACTTTTTTTTTATTGGCCATTTGAATTTTTTTTTTAATTGAAGTGTAGTTGATTTACAAAGTGATTGACAGGACTACTGCATATTCTTTGGATGGTTCAAACCTTTCAACACTTTCAAGTCTTTTTAGCCTGTCTGTCTGACGACCTTTTCTTCCAATTTTTACCTTTCAGTCCTACGTGCTCACATGCTGCAGCCCAGCCTTACAGCCCAGGCTGTATCAGGCCTGCCACTGAAATCAGAGCATCACAGACAGAGGGTATTGAGGCTGTGTGACTCTGCATTACACAATTCTACTGCACATGATGAACTAGAGGTTTTGAAACATATGTCCTATAGCAGATTTGCTAAGGATTGTTTAGACATCTCTTTAAGTGCCAGAAAGATGGCAAGTTTAGACATCTCTTTAAGTGCCAGAAAGATGGCAAAAAGAAAAAAGAAACAGGATACACTAATAGGTGTTGAAAAAACACAACAGAAAAGTAGGCTAAATTTTATGTGAATTACTCTCTGGGCACTGGTCATTGGCAACTGAGGTTAGGCACACTGTTCTAGAGCAGGGGTTGCCAAAACTGCCCCTGTGCCTGTTTTTAGAATGATGGTTTTCCTGGTCACACCCCACCCACTTCTTGACATATCACATAGGCTGCTTTCATTCTAGCAGAACTGAGTGGTTACGACAGAGACTGTGTGGCCCACAAAGCCTAAAATACTATAATTATTATCTGGTCCTTTACAGAAGTTTGCTGACCCATTCTAGAAGGATCCCAGAACTTCCTGCACCAGAATCATCTGGTTAGGAAGGAGGGGCCTTGCTGTGCAGGTTTCCAGGCTCTTCTGAGAGCTACCAAATCACTCTCTGGAGGGAGGGTGGGCCAGGAACCTGCACGTGGCAGGCACCCCTGCCTGATTCTCCCCCACGGCACATCTTAAGTCCCACTACCCCACAGGCTGGACTGCGATTTCCACATGCCCTTCTGTTTGGACACCCCTCAGCATTTGCCATTTAAACACAATCTGGGGTCCTCTGTGAGGCCACGGCAGGACGAGGGGGTAGTTTAGCGGTGGCGCAGCCTGACCTGTCTTGGGTCTGACAGTGGTCAGCGGGTCCAGGTAGTCTGCAAGGTCCCTGTACTTGCGGTCAAGTGCGACCTCGAAGGCGGTCTTCTCCAGCACGCTGAGGTGGTTCGGGTTGGCCCCCTTCTCCACCAGCTGCTGGGCCGTGCCAAGCCTCCCGAGGAGTGCTGACAGCATCAGCGGGCTCCAGCCCACAGTGCGGGCCGCGTGGTTGGGGTCTGCACCCCACTCCATCAGCAGACGTACCACAGCCTCATGTCCGTGCTGGATGGCGGCCATCAGGGCCGTGACGTCCAGGAGCTCGTCCCTGCCGTCCCCCGCCTGCTCGCCTGAGGGTTTGTGATGGTCCACAAAGGCACCGGCTTCCAGGAGCAGCTTCACCACGCCCAGGTGGCCACCCCGAGAGGCCACGGTGAGCACACTGGCCCCCAGCCGGTTCTGGGCATTGACATCAGCCCCGTGATCCAAAAGGAGGTGTGCCACGCTCACATGTCCAAATCTGCCAGGAGGATGGACAATTAGTGACACTAAACATGGGACAGTGATGAGGAGACAGCTCATGTAATCATTTAGTTATTAATTATTGAATCATTAACTATTAAAGTTGTAATAGCTGCTTATAATCAAAGGCCTTCTTCTGCTGCCAGGCACTGTGCTGGCCCTGCATACACACCATCACAAAGGCAAGCCACTGCCCTGTCTAGTTTCCAATCCAGCTCTGCCACCCACTAGCTGCATTACCTGGAGAAAGAATTTTGGCTTCTTCGTGCCTCATTTCCTCATCTCTAAAATGGGGATATGATTATATCTACTTCAAGAGCTGTGGAGGATTAAATGAGTTAATATATATAAATATAAAATATACATAAAGCACCTAGAACAGTGCTTGGCCAAAGGAAGCACCACATAAATGTTAGCTATTACAATTGTAATCATTTCAACATCTTACATCACACAAGAGGCCAAGGTCACCCAGCTGGTGAGAGGTGGCCACAGGGTCAGAACCCAGGTCTGTTTGAATCCTGCTGCCCTCCCGCTTTCCCCTACACCACGCTGCTTCCCACATCACAGAGAGTTCGTGTGATTCTGCTTCAGAGCTGGGTAAGCTCCCTGTGTTCTCATTCCCCACAGGCAGGGCCCATGTCTGACTCACGTCTACCCTTCCCAGCCCCAAACACACATGCACAGAAGGTCCTTTGAGATGAGACAGCGGACCCCATGCCAAGAAGTGTGGCGTAGCTGTGGTCAGCAGAGGCGGGCGGGGGCACCTCTCGCCAGAGGCCTGCTGCCACCTTCTGGCTGGAATGTCCCCTGCTGGCGGCTGAGAATCCGATCTGGGCCAGACCCTCTCCAGGGAAGCTTGAGCGACTGCCTGGCTGGGACGCTGGGGAGACAGACACGCACCCACCAGCTCTAATACCAGGAAGAGGAAAACAGATGCCTTTTCCCAGCAAAATCTCTTCCTTCGTCTGCCACCAGAGGGCAGAAGAGTTCTGTTTTGCAGCGTTTGGGGTTGGCGCAATCCTGGCCTCAGACCTGGAAGGAGCCTCGGACTAAAAGGAAAGAACAACAAGAAGAGAGGGGCCGGCGGTGCCAGGTTTTACAAGACTGTAATGCCGGCATGAGGTCTGCATCTGCGAGGCAGCTTTTCCAATGAATCTCTTGTGGCGTTCCCCTCCTTTACGGAAGCGGTTTTGTGCTTCATCTAAACCCAGGGCCTCCCTCCTCACTGTGGAGGCAGAGCCAAGATTGAACTCTGTTTTGAACTTACAAATACCTTCTGGGATGTGAACCTTAACAGCACCGGGTCACTCAGGCTGCAGAGCTCAGAGGGAGAGCTTGGTGAACTGGCTTCCCCAGCTGCAGGGGAACTGGGCCTGTCTGGCCTTTTCTCCAAGAGTGGACCGAATCTGGCAAAAATGTGGAGAGCTGCAACTCCAGCCTGTCTCCCTGCCCATCCTCCATAATGATATTCCCCAAACCTAAATCTCATGGCCACTCCCCCACTTCCCACTGCCCGAAAAGGCCTGCCAACTTTGTCAACCTTACTTCCTCCCAACTCCCACACCATACTTCCATGCTCACCTGCACTCAGCAGTTATACTCCTCCCATGCCTCTGCCATCCTGCCTTTCTGACCCTCCTGTCCTTGTCTACGGGTCTAAGCACACCCGTTATCCTGCTGCAGGATTCAGCTCAGATCTCACCTCCTCTGAGCAGCTTCCAGATCATCTCCCCCCATCAGTTCAGGTGTCCCTCACTTGAACACACACAATCCCCTGTCCTCACCCCTCCTGATGTACCTGGGCCCTCCTTCTGTAATTGTGTTTTCCTGTTAGACTGTGCACTCTCCAAGGACAAGACCCACAGTGGAGCTCAGTAAATTCTGTCGAATGAGTGAGTGAATGAACAGTTGGCATAACCACGCAGAGGCTGGTCCCCAGACAGGCAACAGAAATGGCTGAAGAACTGGTGTATCCTCCGTTGGAGTAGATAATTTTAAAAGATTACCCTATTTAGGGACTTCCCTGGTGGTCCAGTGGTAAAGAATCCGCCTTCCAAGACAGGGGACACAAGTTCGATCCCTGGTCAGAGAGCTAAGGTCCCACATGCCGTGGGGCAACTAAGCTCGCGCCCCACAACTACTGAGCTCTTGCACAGTGCTTGACACAAAATAAGTGCTCAACAAGGGTTATCATTTTAAGAATAGGAAAAAAACATGAATGAGAGAGCCCATGTGCCGTAAACTACAGAGCCCATGCGCTCTGGACCCCGCACACCACAACTAGTGAGAGAAAACTCGCACGCCACAACTAGAGAGAAGCCCACACGCCGCAAACAAAGACCCCACATGCCACAACTAAGACCCAACGCAGCCAAAAAAATTTTAAAAATTAAAAAAAGATTTCTCTATTTAGTCATCAAGCATGAGATTAAAATCTAGCATAATCCCTGACAGCAGATAACAGATAAAAATTCTGTTTTTATCTATTGGATCTTAGTAAGCCCTGAGATAAACGGATAATGCCTATTTCACAGATGAGGAAACTGAAGATTACAATGGAAAGCAATAATCCAGAATCTCTCAATTTGGAAGTGATGGAGTCAAAACTTGAACCTAGACCCTAAAATCCCAAAGCCCACTTTTTCTGGTAAAACAAACTCACAAAGGAGGAAAAGCGCTGAATTTGAGCAGAAATGCTGACACTTGGAATGCTTTCTGAACTCATGAGTAGCCCAAGAGGTCATTCAATTACGCTGAAAACATAAAAGGATTCAATGAAGGCTGAGATAATTTTGTGGATGCTAATCTTCTAATAGGTAATTACTGAAGATAGGGAAGCTCAGGGCTTTCTGAGCAGCTGCTATGATTACCAATTAATTTCAGCAATTAACACCTATATTGAAAGACCTGGCACACACTCCCACTCTCAAAGCCCTGGGCTGAGAGGCCAGCTCTGCCATGCTAGCAGGCGGAAAAGTGAAGGGCAGAAGAAGGAAAGTAAGGAAGCCAAGGGTGAAATTAGAGCCAGAGTAAACACCATATAAGCTGTCCCTTTAGTGTTTAGCAAATTTGGCAAGTGGCTTCCTTGTAGCCAACACCAAGAAGAAAATGGTGAGTTACAGGATTCATGGCTGAGAGCAGAGGCTGGGAGCATAGGCTCTGTGAGCACCTGCCTAGGTGTGAATCTGACTCTGTCTCTTACTAGCTGTGTGGCCTTGGGCAAGTAACCTAACTTCTCTGAGCCTCAATTCTTTATCTGTAAAATGGGGAAGGCAACAGTACCTACTTCCTCAGATTCTGTGTGGCCTGAATGAGTTAATTCATTTGAAGTACTTAGCACAGTGCTTGACAAAAAATAAGTGCTCAACAAGGGTTATCATTTTAAGAATAGGAAAAAAAACATGAATGAAACCATCTCTGATGCTAAAACACTCACAAGAGACCAAAGTGCAGTCCAGGCACAGGGCCTCTGATGGTCCTGATCCAATGACGAGCTTTGGAACACAGACAGCTGGGAAGATAAATAGATGCTCACTTCATTGAAAGTGGTGGCTGCTGGGAGCACCATCTCTGTAGCCTATCTACTTTCAAGGAGAAAGAGCACAAGACTGGAACGTGTCGGCACACAGCCATGCGCTTGGCCGTCCTGACTGAAGGATCAGACAAACTGTGTATCCTTTAGGAAGTCTCCCTACATATTATTCCTCAACACTGAGCTCTTGATGCAGGTTAGGCAAACGAATGCTTGAGCACAAGCCAGCACAGACAGTCCAGATGGTCAGTATCACAAACTGAAGTACAATAAATTTTAAAGTACCCAGGCACTGTCTAGGCTCAGCTAAAGGTTGAGTCAATTCTCATCATCTCATAGGACTATCCCATTCTACCACAGTAAATTAGAGAGTATGTCATAGCTAACGCTTCCAAAATAGCACCTGTAAGATAAATGGAGGAAAAAAGAGGAATGTAATTAGTCCAGAGCCTTTCGATTTGCAAGTGACAAAGTCAGGACACTTGGAGCACAAATTCCAGCTCTTTTTACAATACCAACTTGTAGAGAAGAAGGAAAATCCTCTAAAAATGTTAAATTATTAGTTAGCAGAGTTCAGCTTAATTCTTGAGTCTCCTGTCCCATCAAGGTTAAATTTCATTAGATGAAATTAATCAGATGACTTTGACCATCCTGCAGAACTTGGTTAGCAGCAAAAAACTGGTGATCAGGGTCTTTGAGACACCCTGCAGCAAACCAGGTGCTGCAGACATAAATCTCACTCAGCAAGGCCCCCGGGGCTCACTAAGGGCGCCTCGGTTCCAGGTGGGAGTTCAGAGATTAGGTGCGCGTCAGCGGCTCCCAAACCTACCATGTGGGAGAATCGTCGCTGGGGAGCCTCTTGTCACACAGAGTCCCTGTCCCTCCCCTGGGTCTTCTGAATCACAATCCCAGAAAGGGAACTCAGGGATCTGATTTGGAAAAGCGTCCCAATGATTCTGATGTACGGCCAGGTTTGGGTGTCACTGACAAAGGTGACCAGCTATAACATGGGAGTGGTGGGCACTACTGCAGAGGCCTGCCCAGGGCTGAGAGACCAGAGAACAGGGGGGAGGGATATCGTGGCAGGCTTCCCAGAAGAAGCTAAGCTGGGAGGAAGTGGGGGGCTTCACTCACTGAGGGGAGAAGGGGAAGAAGAGGTTTCCAGTATATGGTTACAGTGAGGATTCTGCGGCTGGACTCCCCAAATCTGCTGACTAGCTGAATGCTCATGAGCAGATTTTGTAATGTCAAATTCTCATTCATAAAGTGGAGACGAAATTCTTGGCACACAGTAAATGCTCAATAAATGTTAACTTAAAAAAACAAAAACAAAGAACATGCAGGGAGACACAAGAGAAGGCCTGGAATTTAGGAAGCCAGGGGAGACACAAGAGAAGGCCTGGAATTTAGGAAGCCAGGGGGAAGCCAGGGGGAAAGGAGAAGAGAGGATTTGGGAAGAGGTCCGAATGAGAGAGCCTCAAATGCCATGCTAAGGGCTCTGACTAGGGGAGCTATCACAGGAGAGGCACAACCAAACATTCATTTCAGAAAGATCTGGAAGCTCTGCAGAGGATGGATTACAGAAGGCACACCTGGAAGAAGAGAGAGCAGTGGGAGGCCACTTATAAATGTGTGGCCTGGACTAATGCAGAGGGGAAGGAGAGATGCTAAGGCCTAGACGGGTACTTGGTTGAGGACCTACCTGGCATTCTAAAGCCTGGAAGAGTGGACGGGGCCACTAAGAGAGACAGGGAACCTCAAAAGTAAGGTCCATAGCCCAAAAGGTTTTATGGGCACCCCAGACTGCTCCGGGCAACAAATCAAGTGTCTTAAGACAAAGAGTTCCAATACACTGATAGGTGCATAAAACACTGCATTACCCATGTGAATGGGCAGCCCAAGTGTTACAACTGGGATGCGTTACCTAGGTGTGTTTACAGACTGAAATAAATACCCAAGGGCTAAGGAATGGTTAAGCAAACCACAAATGGTTAAGTAGTGCCCATGGAATATCACACAGCAGTTGAAAACGATATATTTAACGACTAAAATAATGCAGAATAAAAATTTTCCAGAAATACAAATTAAACTAGAACAACCACGTAACACTTGGAAATGAACTCAGAAATAAAATATAATCGGGTCACAATGAGAAGATTATGGGTAAGAATGTTGTGATTTCAACGCCTTTTTGAAAAACAAATGGCTCATACATATGGAAAGATGTTCCATTTCACTCAGTTTAACAAATGCAAGTCACAGACACACTGAGATATTTTTCACTCATCAGACACAAAAATTCAAAAGTTTGATAATATACTCTGTTGGAGAGGCTGCAGGAAAAAAAAGGCACTCACATACACTGCTGCCAGGAGGGTAAACTGGTTAATACTACTGTGGTCAACAGAATAATGGGCTCCCTAAAGACGTCCACATCCTAATCCCAGAACCTGTAAATATGTTAGGTTTCGTGGCAAAGGGGAAATTAAGGTTGCAGATAGAATTAAGGTTGCTAATCAGCTGACCTTGAGATAGGGGAGATTATCCAGGTGGGCTCAGTGGAATCACAAGGGCCCTTTAAATGTGGAAGAGGGAGGCAAAGGAGGCAGAAGATGTGATGATGAAGCAGGGGTTGGAGTGATGTGATTGCTGCTGGCTTTGTAGTAAGTTGTTACAGCAGCCATAGGAAACTAATAAACCTGTATGGAGAGCAATTTGGCAATATCCATCAAAATTACAAATGATTTCTGTTCCCTTCTTGGGGAATTTCTCCAAGAAACTGGGTGGGACCTAAGTAGTTGGCTGACAGGAGTGAGAGACTTCACTGTATACCAGAGTTTCTTTATACCAGAGTTTCAAGTCCGGTTCATCCTACTTCCTGAGTACATCTTAAACTCATTGCTTTGCTCTCACACCACCATCTCTGCTCTGGTCCAGGACACCATCACCTCTTCCTGGATTGCTGCAATTCTCTCCAAACCAGCCTTTCCGATTCTAGCTCACCCCTCCAACCCATCCTCACGGTGCAGTGAAAGTGATCTTTGCAAACATAAATCTCATTCTGTCAGTTGCTCTGCCTAGAAACTTCCATTACTTCCCAGTGTCCTTAGGATAGCTCACCTTTCGCAGCCTTGCCACGGTGCATCTCCCACTACTCCCAGGCTCTCCCAGCCACAACATCGTTCTAGCAGTCCTACCAATGCCTATTTCACTTTGGCTTCCAAACCTTTGCACGGGCCTCCTATCACCCCATTCCCACCTTCCACTTCTTCCGTCCAGGTCAATTCTTAGGTATCCTTAGGTCTCGACTTGAATACATACATCATCCTTACCAGAAACCTTCCCCCGCTTCCTGAAACTGAGTCTGCTCTCCAAAAGCTCCTCCAATTTTCCCCGTGAAAGCTGTTCCTTTACCTGGCCTACCCAATGGCATGCGAGCTGCTCCAGTGGGAACTTTATCTGGGTACCGCAGCATCCCGAACGCCAAGCTAGGGTTGGTAGGTAGGTTCTTAGAAAACCCTTGTTGCAAGAAGTAATAAATGGACATCACTAAGGTTCTAAGTCTCTAAGATTCTATTTGCTGTCTCCAGATTGTGTTTTGAAAGGCCAATGTTTCTAAGATTCGGATTTTACTTTATTAAAAAGAGCGTCCACTTCTCGTCGTATCCCAAGCTACTCAAAGTTTACCATTCCAATTCTCTCGAACCAGTCCTTCACTCTTTACCTCCCGGGGCATCTGCGGGGGGCCGCCGGGCAGGTCCGGCCGCCTGAGCCAGCCCGCGACCCGGGGGCCGCTGGACACCACCCCGGACCCTCCGGCGCCCCGGACCCCTCACCTGGCCGCCTGCATGAGCGCGCTCCAGCCGTAGTGGTTGCGGCTGTTGACCGAGGCACCGCGTCGCAGCAGGAACCGCCCCAGCTGCTCATGGCCCCCGGCCGCGGCGAACTGCAGCGCCGTGTTGCCCGCCTCGTCAGAGCAATCTACGGGCACCGGCGCTCCGGCCGCCGACCCCGCCCCGGGCCCGGACGCCTCGGGCCCCGCCGGCTCCGCGCCCGCCTCGGGCTCCGCACCGCGCTCCGCCGGTTCCGCAGTACCCGGCTCCAGCAGCCGCCGCGCCGTCTCCGTGTCGCCCTGATCGCAGGCGCGCAGCAGCAGCTGGAAGGCCGGGGGCAACCCGCCCTCCCCCATCGCGGCCAGCAGCCCGCGTCCGTCTGCGCCGCTGACCTAGCCGGCTCTGCCGGCTCCGCCCCCGGATACCGCGCGCCGGCGCCCCCTTCCGCCCGCGCGCGCGCCTACTGTGTGACGGCCGCGTGAGGAGGGCCGGGCCGCGCGCCTACTGTGTGCCGGGCGCGCGCCCAGGGCGAGGGCACGCCTCAATCGCCGGCGTCGGGGGCGGGGGCGGGGGCTGGACAGCGGGTTCCGGGAAGTTTCGAGCTGCGTTCGCCGCCGAGCTCCCGAGGTTACCTTTGCGATTTCGGCGCCCGCTTGCGGCCCTCCCCGATGCTCCGGATACTTCCCGCCGAGTGCGGAGGTCCGAGCGGCCGCCCCAGCCCTCCTCACATTGCGAGCTCTCAACCACTGGGCCAGGGTCTGAGTCCACGGGCTCACGGGCCTGGCCTGTGGCACGCGCCGCTGACCCCCGGCACCCGGCACGAACCTGGCGCCTCCTAAATGGTCGTTGCCTGAATTAAGGAACAGATGCGTCCACTCTGTCCTCGCAGAATGCCCTGCCGGGCCATCAGTGCCATACTTGTCTGGGACGGGCGTTAGGCCTACAAGCACCTCCTGTACCTTCGTCTCTCTTCGTCAGTGTTTCCTGAAGCAGCACCGTCTGGGACATTTTACAAATGCGCATTTTCTCATCCCACCCAGACCTACTGAATAGGAAACCGAGTATGGAGCCCAGCCACCGGTATCTTACCAAGCCCTCCAGGTGATTCTGAGGCACGTTAAAGTTTGAGACGCACTGTTTGATCCTTAACAGCAGTGCTGTCAGCCACGGGGAAGGGCCGAGATGATCACCCCCAATTTACAGAGGAGGCACCTGAGGCTTAAAGAGGATGTGTCTTGCTAAAGCTCACACGACTGTCGTGTGGGAGAGCTGTGACTAGGACCCAGGTCTTCTGACATCTAGTCCAATTCTCTTTCTACTCTCAACAAGTATTTATTGAGTGCCTGCTGTGTGCCAGGCACTGTTTTAGGCCCCGGAGAAACTGCAAAATAAAATCCCTGCTGTCCTGGACCTGACAGTGGAAAGAGGCTGTAAATACTCAAACAAGTAAGTAACTTGTACGTCAGATGGTGATGAGTGTTATTAAAACAATAAATAGAACATAAAAGAATCCAAGTAAATGGGTTAGAGGATGGGAGGTTATTTTATAATAGGTTGGGTAGAAAAGATATCACTGAGAATGTGACATTTGCAAACAGACCTGAAGGAACTGAGCGGTCGCGTTATGCTAACATTTGGAGAGAGTGGGGGGGGGGGGGGGGTGGAGAGAAAGATTCTAACGAGAGCAGCCCTGCCAGCCAGTTGCTTTACACTCCGTTCTCATCGCGATAACAGACTTTTAACATTCTGATCTGAGGTAATTGGTTTCCACAGACTGTGAGCTATGGTCCCAAAGCCTAGCAAAAAGCTAGACATATGGTAGGTGCTAGGTCATTTAACTTGACTCTTAAATGACTAAGTCTAGTATATAGAATTATAATACAGAACAAAACTTGATGAGGGCATGAGGAAGGAATAAGGGTCATGGCTTTGGCAGATCAAAGATGGTAATGCCCTTAGGATATGGGCCGGCAGGGCTGGAAGATAAGGTCTTCTAGGTGAAGCGTAAAATGAGGAAAAGTCTCGAAAGTACACAGGGTTCAGGCTGCAAAATGCTTCAGTGCCAGAGATTTATTCTGTGAGTAATGGAGAGTCATGGAAAGTGTTTGAGTGTGTGAGATTCAGGAATAGAGCTAATCATTTTGGCCATGTGGGAGGTGGTACAGGCATATCTCAGAGATATTGCGGGTTCGGTTCCAGACCACTGCAATAAAGTGAGTCATGCAACTTCTTGGTTTCCCAGTGCATGTAAAAGTTATGTTTACACTGTACTGTAGTCTAGTAAGTGTGCAATAGTCTTTAAGAAAACAAACAAGGTAAATACCTTAATTTAAAAATACTTTATTGCCAAAAATGTAAATACACAAACAAGTAAGTAACTACGTCAGGTGGTGATGAGTGTTATTAAAACAAATAGAACATAACAGAATCCAAGTAAATGGGTTAGAGGATGGGATGTTATTTTATAATAGGTTGGGTAGAAAAGATATCACTGAGAATGTGACATTTGCAAAGAGACCTGAAGGAATTGAGCAGTCAAGTTATGCTAACATTTGGAGAGAGTGCATCATCTAAGCCCTCAGCGAGTTGTAATCTTTTTGCAATAGTAACATCAAAAATCACTGATCATGGATCACCATAACAGATATAATAATAATGAAAAGTTTGAAATATTGCAAGAATTACCAAAATGTGATAGTGACACAAAGTGGGTAAATGCTGTTGGAAAAATGGTGCTGGTAGACATGCTCCATGTAGGGTTGCTGCAAATGCCTGTCTATAAAATGCCACATCTGGGAAACACGATAAAGGAAAGCACAGTAAAACAAGGTGTGGGGAATTCCCTGGTGGTCCAGTGGTTAGGACTCCACGAGCTTCCACTGCAGGGGGCACAGGTTCAACGCCTGGTCAGAGAACTAAGATCTCGCAAGTTGCGCAACCAAAATAATTAATTAATTAATTAATTAAACACTGTCACTCATTTCCACATTTGGCTCTGTTCATCACAACAGAGTTGAGGATGACTTTCTTTTGGATGTCTAATGAAGACTTGGTTCCTTGAAAATCCTGAGCAATTGCTTCCTTGTCTTATTGTATTTATTCAGGTGTCTTTTCTTATATTTTACTAACTAGTTGTTTCACTGTAAAAGTAATATACATGGTAAAAAAAAAATTCCAACAATACAAACGGGCATAAAGCAAAAGCCCCTTTCCCTCCTCCTCCACTTTCCCACTTTCCCAGTCCTACTTCCCATAGGTAACCAATATTCACATTTATTTTATCTTTCCAAAAATATTTCATACATATTCAAACATGCACACCTACTTACAGGCATTAATCAAGGTTCTTGATTGCAAGCAGCAGAAATTAACCCTCTGGATAATTTAAGAAGAAAAGGGATTTAATACGAGGTTTTGTTCATAGCTCACAGATCCCACGGGGCCAGAGAACCAGCCCCAGAGGCCCCACAACCAAGAACAATGTCCCAAATCATGCCAGGCTGCACCCTATACCAGGATGGAGTCTGCACAGGCCCTTTTTGGTGTCACCAGCTTCAGAGTCCAAGGCAGAGACGGGAGCATCTGAATGGCCTGGCCAGGTCATGTGTTTTGCCTGGCAGAAAGGGAGTTGGGAAAGTGCATTTCTAGCATTTTCAGCATGTATAATAGGAGGTAATCTCCATTGTGGGTGCCCCAGAAGGTAGGAGACTCTCCAGGATAGGAAGGGGGTTCCCATGCTGGGCAGCCAAAAAGGATAACAAATGTCTACTACAAATATTCCCTCTAGAGTGGATCTCTATTGCATACACCTGTCATGCCTCTCCTACTTGGGGAAGACACCCTCTTTCTTTTGGGGAGCCTCCTTCCCCCACTCTCAGTCCACGTGGTTCAGTGATTAGCGTATGTCCAAGCCTATTCCAATTCCTTCAGTGCAGAATTTTTTGTTAAAGGTTGTCAGCAGTCAGGACGTCATAAGCCAGACTGGGGCTCGCTCTGCCCCCACTTGAAGACAACCTGCCTGAGAGTGAAGCCACCACACAGAAGAGCAGAGACAAGTGATAGAAAAAGATGGAATCAGAACCCCCCCACTCCCATTCTTTTTGGTTAGGTTTGTTTTGAGCAGGGTTGTTGTCACTTGCAATCCAAGCCTTAACAAATGCATATTTTACTATTTTACTTTTTAAAGAAGTGGGTTCCTACTATGCATGCTATTCTGAATATTCCCCCACCCTTTTTTCATTAAATAAATGGCTTGGGCATCTTTCCATGAACATAGATCTACTGCATCCTTTTTTTTAATATATATTTATTTTCTTTTTGGCTGTGTCGGGTCTTAGTTGCGGTGTGCAGGCTCCTTGTTGCCAGGCGCGGGCTTCTCTCTAGTTGTAGCACACAAGCTCTAGTTGTGGCCCGAGTGCTCAGTAGTTGTGGCACGTGGGCTTAGTTGCCCTGCGGCATGTGGGATCTTAGTTCCCCAACGAGGGATCGAACCGAGTCCCCTGCATTGTGATGTGGATTCTTAACCACTGGACCACCAGGAACATCCCTACTGCATCCTCTTTAATTGTTGCATGTAACACCATTAAGCAGATGTACCGTAATTTATTTAATCATTTTTTAATGATGCACAATTAGGTTGTTTCCAGTTTTCTGCTATCATAAAAAAATTCTGCATTGAACAGCACTTATAGCAGTCAGGTTCCCAGCAGGAGACAGCTGGCACATTTGGCTGAGGAAATGAGGACCATTTACTAAAGAACTAATTACAGACATGTGGGCAGTATTTACTAAGAGTCACAAGGGATGATGCAGTACTCAGAGGCTGGCAACAGTAGGGAGCCATCACCACCCCAGGCCTGAAGCAGGAGAGGGAGAGAGCAGTTACTGGAATTCTACAAGAGAGAAAACTGGAGAGATCTACCTGAAAGGAGTTTGGCCTTTGGTAGAGGGATGCAGCCATCCTACGGCAACCCAGTAGGAAGCAATCCCCAGAGGAATAAAAACCTCTGACCTCATC